TTCATGGAAAAAAATAGATTCTCAACAAAAACATTGTTCTATATGTTGGGACAATAAATATCTAAAAGCAAAAGCAAAAAAAAATTGTATCTCACATCAAACACAAAAATTAATTTTAAATGGATCAGAGACCTAGGTGTAAAATTTAAAACCGTAATTTTATGTGAAAACCCATGAGCAGTGGGCATACTCGTGCACGTGTGTAATCCTAGCACTCGGGAGGCTGAAGCAGGAGGATCACTGTGAGTTTGCAGTCACCCTGGGCTACATAGTGAAACTGTCTCAAAAAAATTAAAAAAAAATAGGAGCAAAGATTTAAATATAATACAAAAAAACTGATACACACACACACACTCACACACACACAAATCAATACATTGGATTTGGTTAAAATGTAAAACTTTTGGGCTGGAAATTTAGCTCAGTGGTGCCACCGCCTGCCTCACAAGCTCAAGGTCCTGACGGTGAGATCTGACTGAGCTAAAGTGACTTCACGCTGGCCTGCTAAGGACCCCAGAGACTGTTATTTCTCCCTCCCCTTATCAAACATCAGGGAGCCGGGCATGGTGGCGCATGCCTGTAATCCCATTTCAGGTCATAACTCAAGACTTGGGTTGTAAGTTAAAACTAAAATTCTGGTTATATCCCAAGTTGTTCAGATGTTGGGCTGGTTGAAACTTGAGGATCCACTGTGCAATAAAATAAAATTTCTGCTGTTTGAAAGGCACTGAACGAAAAAAAAAAAACAAAAAAAAAAACAATGCACAGACCAAGACAGGATGCCATCATACCCTGGAGCTCAACATCAAATTTGGTTCTCAACACATTTTGACATGAAAGTTCTGTCCTGGTATTCGTTACTCCTTGGCACTGGACACACAAGCTAGAAGCTGGTGTCACCTCCTGACTCAGACCCTTTGCAGATGAAACAATTTGATGCTGTACTTGTCACTTGTACTTGTCATGCCTTCCAGGACCAATTCACAGCAAGTACCAAGGCACCATTTAAAGTGAAGATATTCACAGAAAGGAGATTAAAACAAAAGGAAAGAAATTGCAAGTAGGTCTGGGCATGGTGCTGCATGCCTGTCATCTAAACACTCAAGAGGATGTGAGTTCAAAGACAGCTTGGGAAGCCGGGCATGGTGGTGCACACCTGTAATCCCAGCACTCGGGAGGCTGAGGCAGGAGGATCGCTGTGAGTTCGAGACCAGCCTGAGCTACACAGTGAGTTCCAGGTCAGTCTCAAATACATAGTGAGACCCTGTCTCAAAAAACAAAACAAAAAAGACAGCTTGGAGCACACAAGGAGACACTGTCTCAAAACCAAAAGAGAGTGGCTTCGTCTGCTGCCATTCTCCTGCATGGAAGGCGTCTTCCTGCTCCTGTCTGCCCTGGGCCAGTAGCCCTCTAGAGACTAAACACTGTAGGGAACTGGGAAAGGCAACGTTACTAGAACCTCTGCAGTAAGTCCTAGTCCCGCAACAGCACAAGGTGAATTATTTTATTCGACAGAAAAGACAGAGAAAAATGAGACTTAGAGAAGAAGCTGAGCTTTAGGCCCGATCAGTGCTGCTCTAGGCAGCAAAGACAAAAGCCCCCAAGCTTGGTACACCTTTATTCAGTTCATCGGGAGAAAACAAATGTACGGATGACTCAGGGCAGAGAGTTCAGTACATCAGAGTAGCAAATGTAAAAGGTCACTCACAGGGCAGCTGCAGCAGTAGGAGCGGATAAACCTGGGAACTATGCAGATGAACATTTTGTTCCTCCCAGGATGTCTCCAGCTGGTGTGGTCCTGTCCTGGAGCATCACAGCGTCACCAGACCACTGAGGTCCAAGCTGTGACCAGGGGCCAAAATGGAGTTATGTCTCGACATGCCAGAGGCAGGAGAACTAGGCCTTATCAAATGATTTTTTATGAGTTGGATCCCAGGTACCTCACTCCCCGCTAAAGATACTTTATTGAAGAGCAGGAAGCCCAGGTTCACAAAGAGAACCAGTGGTGTGAACAGAAGTAAAATTTTGTGCCTGATGCTGTAACACTATGAGGGTTGTTCCAAATACTCCTTGCACTGCTCTATTTATAATTGTTAATATTAGAAAAACAGTAGACAAATGAAGCAGCAGATCAATTGTATTAACACAATATTGTCCTCATTGCATGTGTAGTTTGAGTACAGATTCCAAACCAATGGCTGAATTTCTTCTAGTCTGAGCAATAGTTGCTGTTTTTCTTTTTCTTTTTTTTTCTGTTTTTCTTCTGAATAAAATTGAACTGTGGGTTCTCTGTTTAAAAAAAAAAAGCAAATCAAATAGGGAGAGAAAGAAGGATAAACAGGGGGAAGATTGAAAGTAAAAAGGAACAAGGAAACCATAAATTCAAAAATATATAAGTGCGGGCCAAGGATTTAGCTCAGTGGTGCCATGCCTGCCTCATAAGCTCAAGGCCCTGAGTTAGATCCCTGGTATGGGTGATATATATATAGATAGATAGATAGATAGATAGATAGATAGATAGATAGATAGATAGATATCTTGGGTCATGGATTTAGCTCAGTGGTTCTGACACCTGCCTCGAAAGTGCAAGGACCCGAGTTCAATCCCCGGTACAAAAAAAAAAAAAATCAATAGATATCTATCTAATATATCTATATATATCTGAATGTATGTATCTGAATATATATATATATGAATGTATATACCTGAATATCTATTTCTGTCTATATAGATAGATATAGATATAGATATAGATATAGATATAGATAGGTCTGAATGAGCTGGGCATGGTGACACAGGCCTGTAATCAGGAGGCTGGGGCAGGAGGATCACCATGAGTCTGAGGCCAGCCTGTGCTATGTGGTGAGTTTGAGGCCAGACCCTGTATCAAAAAACAACAAAAATTTAAGTGATATATTAATCAATTGCAACATACAATTTAGACTCTCATTCAAACAAATTGTTTTTAGAGATTTATATGTCAATCAAGAAATGTTAACACTAGAGTCAGGGATTTAGCTCAGTGGTGCCACCACCGGCCCTGCAAGCACAAGGACAGCAGCCATAGCAGCAGCAAAAATTCTAGAATAAGGAACTATGCAGATGAAGATTTTGTTCCTCCCAGGATGTCTTCAGCTGGTGTAATCTTGTCTCAGAGCATCACAGGATCACTGGACCCTTGAGGTCTTAGCTGTGTCCTGAGTTCGATCCCCAGTAAAAAAAAAAAGAAATGTAAACACTAAATGCATATTTGATATTATAATTATTGTTGATTTTGGCAGCGGGAGTAATAGTTTGAGGGTATGTTTAATTTAATTTTATTTATTTTGGTACCAGGGATTGAACTCAGGACCTCGTGCTTGCAAGACAGGTGAGGCATCACTGAGCTAAATCCCAGTCCTTGTAAATTTTTATTTTGTGTCTTTTTAGATTGTCTCACTATGTAGTCCAAGCTAGCCTTGAACCTGTCATCCTCCCAAGTGCTTGGATTACACACATGTGCCACCACACCTGGTAGAAGGCTTGGTTTTTAGAATATCTACTGAAATGTTAACTAGTGAAACTGTATGTCTGGTATTCAAATTAATGTCAGAGGTGGTGTGAGGTTGGTGCAGGTACAGAGGAAACAAGCTTGACAGTGAGTTGGTAATAGAACCAGTGTCCATATGGGGGTTCAGGAGGCTACTTTCCCTACTTCTGCATATGTTTGATAATTTCCACAATAAAAATGTTTTAAAGTTGTAAGTCAGAATTATCTTACTCTAATATAAAAAAAAGCAGCTAAGGGCCAGAGATTTAGTGTAGTGGCACCACACCTGTCTCACAAGCACAAGGTCCTGAGTTCAATCCCCCGTACTGAAAAAAAAAAAAAAAAAAAAGGAATTAAATGCTGGGTGAAGTGGTGCATGCCTATCATTCCGGCGGCTTCACAGAAGGCTGAGGACAGTCTGGGCAATTTTTTTTTTTTTTTTTGAGATAGGGTCTCACTATATAGTTCAGGAGGGCCTTGGACCCACTATGTAGCCCAAGCTGGCCTCAAACTCTGTGATCCTCCAGCCTCAGCACCACCATGCCCAGCTCAGCCTGGGGAATTTATCAAGACCTTATTTCACAATAAAATAAAAGGGGCTGGAGATGTAATCTAATAGTAGCCCTTGCCTAGCATGCTTGAGGTCCTTGGTTCAATTCCCAGTACTAAAACAAGACAAAACAAACAAACAAAAAACTCTCAAAAACGACAGGAGGAAGTACTATCCTGCAACCCTGATGCCAGTTTGAGAGCCACAGGAGTCATTTCCCTTCATTTCTAATTTTTTTTTTTTTTTGATACAGGGTCTCACTATATATTTGAGACTGACCTGAAACTCACTAGGTATCCCAGGCTGGTCTTGAACTCACAGCGATCCTCCTGCCTCAGCCTCCCAAGTGCTGGGATTACAGGCGTATGCCACCATGCCCGGCTACATTTTTTGTCTAAATAGTTTAATATTATTTTTAAAACACGTATTTACATATAATTTTAGGGGTAAAAAAAATCCCTCTACACATTCTGATCATAAGAGCCCATCTATTTCCTTCCTCTGTCCTCCAGAATTTTGGAAGGCTTCCCAACATTTTTTCCAAGTTTAGATTCTCTGGATTACGGGACTACGAAGGTTTCTGAGAAAAATGGGTCAAATTCAGCACGCCCTAACCTTCTACACCCTACAGGGTGACTTCCGAGCCACACACCACTAAGCCAGGGGACCTTGAAGGTGGCGACTTTCCGGATTTGCTACCCGCCTCCTTCGGAGTCTCCAGGAAGGCACGCGCGATCGCTCGCACAAATGAACTACATCTCCCAAGAGGCTTTTGCCCCCCTGTGGGCGGGGTTAGTAGCGGAAGACTACATTACCCACTGACCCTCTGCGGGAGGCAGCCGCTATCCTGCGATCGTACAACATTGGACCAGTTTCTGTCAGTGTCTGCGCGGTGATTGGCCCAAAGGCCCGTCAGTTACTTCGAAGGGCAGTAGAATTTTGCCGTTAGCCGGCCTGAAGGAGAGTAGAGTTTATGGATCCCACGGTCGTCTGCGGAGTCGGTGAGTGACCTCTCCTTTCTCTCTCTTCGCAGTGTTCTCGGGGACTCTCACCCTCTCTCCCAGGGACGGACCGCGGGGAACGCACACTCGCAGGGAAGCACGTGGGGCGGGGAGTGTACGTCTTGTGGCACCCAGACCTGAGAAGCGCCTGACAGGACACCTGAGGCAGAACTGCGCGCACGCAACGGGCACCTGCACACGCGGTGCGTCTCGCGCCGCGCGCTTCCCGACGTGGGGAGAAACGCAGCGCGAGGCACGCTGCACACTGCTGCGTCGGCG